CCCTCCATCTTTCCCAGCATTAGGCTCTTCTCCAGTGAATCCTTCCTTCTCATTAGGTGGCCAAAGTATTTGAGCCTCCTCTTCAGGATGAGGCCTTCTAAAGAGCAGTCAGGGTTGATCTCCTCTAGGACTGACCGGCTGGATCGCCTTGCGGGACTCGCAGGAGTTCTCTCCAGCACCAGAGTTCAAAGGCCTCCATTCTTTGGCACTCAGCCTTTCTTATGGTCCCAAATTTCACAGCCATACATTGCAATTGGGAAAACCATAGCCTTGACTAGACACACTTTTGTTTGCAGGGTGATGTCTCTGCTTTTTAGTATGCTATCTAGACTTGCCATAGCTTTCCTCCCCAAGAGCAAGTGTCTTTTAATTTCTTGGCTGCAGTCCCCATCTGTGGTGATCTTGGAGCCCAGGAAAATGTTTTTATAAACATTTATTTAAAAAGCCTGGCTTCACCAGTTCCAGAAAGCATTGTGTGACTTCAATGCTTTACCGCCATCCACCATTTTTAGTAATAGGCAATCCATTCCTATTTAGGGATTGTTCTCAAATTGTATGTTCTTAAGCCAGGGAGTGCCTTTCATGGATAAACCCACACCATTTTCTTGGCAAACATTTTCAGAATTCTTCGCTCTTTTCTTCTTCCTAGAGGGAAAGGAAGAATGTCCCAAAGCTTCCTAGCTGTCCACATTCAAGCACCTAAATGAGACTCAGAGATATCCAAGACAACTCATATATCAGAAGTTCCAATATAGAATAAGTTACAGGTGGGGAAATTGATTGAATGTAGGGGAAAAAATTAAAGTAAGATTAGGTCAATATAGAAGTGTTAGCTCTCCTTAGTTACCCATGTTCAAAATATAACTTAGATATGTGCAAATGTTCATAGGATAAAAAAACCCTGAGGTCCTATGCAATTGTTTTTTTCTCTGTAATTCACCAATCTGGCCATTCTTGGTTGGTTCATTGTTTACAAGAAATACATCATCCAGAACAGGAAATGGTTTAGTTAGGTCCCAGAAATGGTCCAGTGCTGACTTCAACCCCCACCGCAAACAACTTATTGCGGATTTGCTTCTGGTAAACTGCCGGATGATTTCATCCAGTGGCGGGATTCAAATAATTTAACAACCAGTTCTTTTCCCTGATGATTTCTTCCAACAACCAGGTCACCAAACTGCTCAGAAAGTTAACAACCGGTTCTCCCGAAGTGGTGCGAACTGGCTGAATCTCACCACTGATTTCATCCATACATGTTGTGCTATCTTAAATGTTATTTCATGTGCATTTTGTTCTTCTGACTTGTTGATTGCTTTAACGGATTTCACATCTTAGATTTTCTATACTGAATGGCATGTTAACATTTCAACAATACTGTTTTCATCTAGTATTTCAATAAGTTTTCAGACAACATTAGAGCGTTGACACCATGTATTATTTTGGCCATGTAGTCTGTAAAAATTGTATTTTTAAATTTTAAAAAAGTTTGATTAAGTTATTGCTCTTAGAATAGAATGGAGTGGAGTGGAATGGAATACTTTATTTGGCCAAGTGTGATTAGGCACACAAG